ATTGTTGGGTGGAATTTTTGGGGGTTTTGTGAGGAATTTTTGTGAATTTTGGGGGGAATTTTGGGGGAAATTAAAGGGAATTTTGGGAGGAATTTTTGGGAATTTTGGGAGGAATTTTGGAGGAAACTTGAGAAATTTCGGAGGGAATTTTTTGGGAATTCCTCGGGGCTCTTTCGGGGTACCCTGGAGTTCCTCAGCATTTCGGGATCCCCCTGGAACATCCCAAACCTTTTGGGGACCCCAAAAAAATTTGGGAAGACCCCCCCCCCAAAAAACCTCCTCCCCTCCCCCAGCCGTGCCCGACGTCTCCACGTACCAGTACGACGAAACCTCGGGGTACTACTACGACCCCCTGACGGGGCTCTACTACGACCCCCACTCGCAGGTTTGGGGTTTTGGGGTGCGGGGGGAGGAATTTGGGGTCCCCCAAAACCCCGGGGTGAAGTTTGGGGTGAAAAAAGCGAAGTTTTGGGGTGAAAAAATGGGGTTTTAGACTGGAAAATGTCATTTTTGGGGGGTTTTTGGGGTAAAATGAGAGGTTTGGGGTGGGGGTTTGGGGTTTTGGGGTGCGGGGGGAGGAATTTGGGGTCCCCCAAAACCCCGGGGTGAAGTTTGGGGTGAAAAAAGCGAAGTTTTGGGGTGAAAAAATGGGGTTTTAGACTGGAAAATGTCATTTTTGGGGGGTTTTGGGGGTAAAATGAGAGGTTTGGGGTGGGGGTTTGGGGTTTTGGGGTGCGGGGGGAGGAATTTGGGGTCCCCCAAAACCCCGGGGTGAAATTTGGGGTGAAAAAAGCGAAGGTTTGGGGTGAAAAAATGGGGTTTTAGACTGGAAAATGTCATTTTTGGGGGGGTTTGGGGGTAAAATGAGAGGTTTGGGGGGGGGGTTTGGGGTTTTGGGGTGCGGGGGGAGGAATTTGGGGTCCCCCAAAACCCCGGGGTGAAATTTGGGGTGAAAAAAGCGAAGGTTTGGGGTGAAAAAATGGGGTTTTAGACTGGAAAATGTCATGGGGAAAATTTTGGGGGCTGTTTTGAGGATGTTAAAGCTGATTTTGGAAAGATTTTAGGGGCGATTTTGGGGTGATTTCAGGGTGATTTGGGGGTGATTTTGGGTTCTTTTCTGGGGTGATTCTAAAAACAAAAAAATGCCCAAAAAACCCAAAAAAATCTTAAAAAAAATCTTCAAAAAAATCCCCCCAAAAAATCTTAAAATAAAGCCCAGAAAAGTTCTGAACCCCCCCCAAAAATTCTAAAAAACTGCAAAAAACCCCAAAAAACCCTTAAAAAAACCCCCCCAAAAAATCCTAAAAATAAACCCTAAAAAATCCTAAAAAAACCCTGAAACAATTCAAAAAATTCCAAAAGAATCCTTAAAAAACCCTCAAAAATCCTAAAAAAATCCCCCAAAAATCCCTAAAAAAATAAAAAAAACCCAAAAATTCTAAAAAAATTCCAAAAAAGCCAAAAAAAATTCTAAAATATTCCAAGAAAAACCCCCAAAAAATCCTAAAAAAATTCCTAAAAAATTCCAAAAAAATCCAAAAAAATCCCAAAAAATCCCAAAAAAAATCCAAAAAAATTCCTAAAAAATTAAAAAAAACCCCCAAAAATCATAAAAAAATTCCAAAAAAATCCTAAAAAATTCAAAAAAAACCCCAAAAAATCCTAAAAAAGTTCCAAAAAAATAAAAAAAAAATCCTAAAATATTCCTAGAAAAACCCCCAAAAAATCCTAAAAAAATTCAAAAAAAACCCTAAAAAATTCAAAAAAAACCCCAAATAATCCTAAAAAAGTTCCAAAAAAATCCAAAAAAAATCCTAAAATATTCCAAGAAAAACCCCAAAAAAATCCTAAAAAAATTCCTAAAAAAATCCAAAAAAATCCAAAAATGTCCCAAAAAATCCCCAAAAAAATCAAAAAAAAATCCTAAAAAGTTAAAAAAAAAAACCCAAAAAATCCTATAAAAATTCCAAAAAAACCCATAAAAAAATTCCAAAAAAATCCTAAAAAATTCCAAAAAAAACCCAAAAAATCCTAAAAAAGTTCCAAAAAAATCCTAAAAAAAAATCCTAAAATATTCCAAGAAAAACCCCAAAAAAATCCTAAAAAAATTCCTAAAAATTTCCAAATAAAATCCTGATAATTCTCTTCACTCTCCCCCTGCCCCCCCAGTACTACTACGACGCGGGGGCGGGGCAGTACCTGTACTGGGACGGTGACAGACGAACCTACGTGGCCGCTCCCCCCGCCGAGCCCCCCCCGGGACCCCCCGGGCCCCCCGGGACCCCCAAAGAGCCCAAGGACAAAAAGG